CCTTCTAGTGATGATACAGGTGAATATCTGAGTTAGGACTTTGTTTACCGCCTTTAAAAATGTTGATCCCATGTACATGGATCAATGTCTGAGAACATAGCCAGAATGCAAGAGATATTTTTTTCAATAAATGAATGACCTGTTCAATGGAAAATTCTCTGTGCTGAAAGTTGTTCAATGGGAAATTCAGTGTGCTGGGGCCCCAGCACAATGCGACCGACGGGATCCCATATGTGTGCCAGTGTGTGTCCTCGCTGCTCCATTTCCCACCCTGCTCCCTGCTTGTGGCCTGGGAAAGCAGTAGAGGATGGCCCAAAGCCTTGGGACCCTGCACCAGTGTGGGAGACCCAGAAAAGGCTCCTGGCTCAACTCCAGCCATTGCACCCAGTTGGAGGAGTGAACCGGACGATGGAAGATATTTCTTACTGTCTCTCCTTCTTCCTGTAAATCTGACTTTCCAATAACAATAAATAAATCTTTTAAAAGAAGAGAAATTCAGGGTGCTAACAAACATATTTAATAATAAAATTGACCAAAGACAGAGATACAACATGGGATTAGGGCACTGAGTGAAACCAAAGAGAGATCAGCGTCCCTCCTGAAAAGTATGTCTGAAGCCACATGGGCTGAGACCCAACTATGCAGATTCTCGAATTTGATGCCATCTTGTTAGCATTCCAGGAAGGACCGATTCAGTAGAAAGTTCGCACTCAGGAGACTAAGTTCCAGCTGGATAATATAGATTCATAAATAAAGCAGTCATTGAGAGCCATTTCTCTACTTTCCAAATCATATCAAAATCTTGCTTTCCAGCATGGCAATAGGACACTAACTAAATAATTTAATGGCTCAGATTAAGAAAAGGATTAACATCTTAAATGGGCAGGCATATTTTAATTACAAATATTTTTCATGCTTCAAATAGGGAAAAATGGCTTTCATGTTAGTGCTTACTGCGTGTATTAATTAATTACTCTAATAAATAGTATAGACTGTTATTTTGTTTCAAATGCAAAAATATTCATTTTGTGTTGCTAATGAGTGTTTTATTTTAAATTTTGGTTTAAATACTTTAGTGTTTCTTTTAGAAAATATTACTTGAGTTATTTCTTTATGCTAAAGAGGACATGCTGGCAGCCAAAACTTAGGCAAGGGTTCCTACCCCATACATCACACCACGCTGTAGGAGAAATGACAGGCATGGGCCACACAGAATTCGGTGTGCTAGCCAGTTTCCTGAGGCTTCAGAAGGGTATGCTACAACTTCCAGAGGGATTTGTGAAGCCTTCTCAGCCAAGATGATCTCTAATTTCCAAATAGATTTTTTAAATAGACTATGAAACTGGGTCGTTGAAATTAAAGAGGAAGGAAGGTAAGCCTAGAACCAGAGAGAGCAGCCATGGAGGAAGTTCTTAAAACAATCAACATTAGGTTATCCAGATTTGAAGAGTAACCACCAATAGCATAAAAAACAAATTTAGGGCATATCAAAGAGGAAAAAGAGGCAATATTTGATAAACTAACATTGTGTGAGATTAGAGGGAAATCGGATTTTCCTGAATGTAAATGGCAAACTTCTGCTTGAAATCCTTGCGTGGACACAGCATTTCATTGGTCAACACAGGCAAGGGAGTCATTGGGTGAAAATCACAGATGTGACTGTGATGTAACTGCTGTAGAAGGAACACAGAAGGAGAGTTACTGCATGGTAGCCGGTGAGTACTTGTAGTTCAGCATAGTGCCAGGCAGTGAACTCTGAGTTCATCAGTGTGCTGACTATAGGTGAGCACCGATACTGCTTTCCAGGAAATGGAATAGAAGGATGAAAAAGAATAAATTGAGAAGAATCCAGAGAAGCAACAATCACAGGTGTAAGAAGAAACCTATAGCAGCAGGTTCCATACAAGGGAATTGTAGACCTGTCTCCATCAAGCCCGATGTTGCACAGAGATGCACTAGCCTATGGACTGAAACAAAATATTCACTGAATATGACATTAAACCAGTTTGGAAAAACTAATTTAAGTCAAGTGTAGAATAGCAATCCCATTTCAGTGTTTTGGGAAGCAAATGAGGCAGAGGGGATTAACAGACCAAGTGCAAGAAACTTAAAGAGCTTACATTTTTAAGGGGAAAATATAACTCAGTAACTAGAAGAATTCTTGAAATCAAGAGATTTTTCTTATAATAGTTTTATGTCTGATATTAAAATTAATTTTTGAAATGATAGCTTATTTAAAAAAACATTATTAAGCCTTTCCAACATTGTTTTAATGCCTTTTGTATAATCTTCAAGTGCCAACAACATGACTAAAGGATAGCACAATACAATGGCCAAGGATTTTCAGGGAAAAGTGAACAGAAGGTATTAGGAGATGAGATGATGAAAGGGAATTGCAAAGAAGAATTTCAAGGACAGAGTCCTGGGGAACAGACCAAATGAAAACAGCACACAGAGGGGACCAAGCACGTGAACCAGGAGACAGCAAATCCCAGAACCCTACTTTGAGAAGGCTTCCTCTAAGGAGGTGGTCATTACGGTCATGCTGCCGAGTGAAAATCCCAATGGACTCACGAGATTTCTCTGTGTAATAACTTCAAAAACAACGGGCCTTAACTAGAGGGCGAGAGCAACACTAATCATGTAAATTCAACTTGAAAGCAGCTTTTCTGAGGAAGTTTATCTGAAATATCCATTCAGAACATATTGCCCCTGCACTCGCTGCTTCTACATTGTAACTACCACTGGGCCAGACAATTTCACTAACTGGGATTTATTCCAGAAAAAGAAGAATGGGTTTACATTAAAGACAGTATCTAGATTTTTATAGCAGCTTTATTTGTAGCAACAAAATAGCGGTCATAGGAACAACAACCAGGAGCCCTAAGCAGTCCGCAGAAACAGAACAGTAAACTTCCTCTGGGACTAGGGAGAGGAGCTTTCTCAGGTCCTTGCTTTGTTCCAACTTTGGCTTCCCACCGTCTCTTGCAATGACCATCAGGGTCGCTCCAGAACCCCCTAAAAACAAACAAACAAAAAACTAGAATAGATAGAGAACAATAAGAAAAGCTTAGAATCAGACAGGAAACAGCGTGGATTCACATATACCTTACTAGGTAGGACACAAAACATTAGTTACTCCTCACTAGGGTATTGAGGATTTCTCTGCACACCCCTCCTAAAACTGTTCTGCACTTAAACTGTTGACATATGCCTTGTTAGAGTTATAAACCATTTAGACCACCCTAAAACAGCCAGGTTCAGCAAAATTATACTTCAACACTATAAATGGCTAAATACTAAAACGAAAATAGACACAAGTCAGCTGAATAGTACCCGATAGCCATTTAAAGGTGTATAGAAGCCAGTTGTATGTAAACTAAAATTGAAATGTCAATGAAGTAGTCATAGGATGTGGTTAAAAACTTGCATTTTTTAAAACATATTGGTTACTCAATCCCATGTCAATAATTACACAATGTTGTAAATTGTTGTTAATGTTATTTGGGGGCTTTTAAATGATCAGGATGATATTCTGCCAGATCTGCCTTCAGATCAGAGATGGTCTACCCAAGAAACTGATGAAATTTCTAGAAATTTCTCTAGACAATGAGATGCTGGACTCTATGCTTGGTATATGCTTGCAATGAAAGAATCTTGACTGAATTTGAACTACAATACTGCAACAAGGTGGAGGAATCCACTATGGGGGGAGGGCACGGGGAGGGGATGGGGGAATCCCAGAGCCTATGAAACTGTGTCACATAATGCAATGTAATTAATAAAAAAATAGCATAGAAATAATCCATGCTTTTCAATGGGTGAAAGGTTAAACAAACCATCATGTATGCATGTCATGGAATACAACACACTGATCAAAGGAAACAGACGATTGAACACATATCAGCTTTAAATCATCTCCAGGGAATTAAGATGCATAAAAACAGCCAGCCCACACAAAACATTTGTACTTATGTATGCAAAATTCTTGAATTGACAAAATTATGTTAGTACAAGATGGGTTCATGCTTCCTTTGAGTTAAGGGGGGCTTGGGCATGGGAGAGACCTGAGTGCAATGAAAGATGAAGGGCACAGCGAACTGCACTTGTAAGGCTTGCATCCATTACTGTCAATAAACTGACATTTTACTGTCGATTCTCAATGCTAACATTGATGGAAACTGAATAAAGAATAGGTAGGATCTCTCTATGATGTCAACAAAATAAACATGTAGGTCTATATTTATACCAAAATATATAAATTTAATTTTAAGTACACCTACAAACCAAACAAAAAAATGACAAAAGCATTATTTTTTAAAGCACCCAGTTTTAAGTCACATTGCGATAGTATTGAAACCGAGATATACCAGTCATGTTAGCTTTAAATGTTGCAGCTTAAATATATGATAAAAATCACACCATCAGCATCCCCTCTTAACACTTATGTGATTTAGGGCAAGAGTTTCCTAAATGAAGGGTCCCTATAATATGTCTACATGTTTATGAGTTATAGATCAAGTTACAATGTGTACACAAATTTATTATACTATTTTGGATGGCAGATTGTGGAAAGGGGTGCCCTATAAAACCTAGAAACATAATCTTTGGACAGGGAATTCTGGGATCCTGATTAAAGAAGCATGGTCCAGAAATGGGTGGAATGTAACCTGAGTTGCACAGCCTCTTGGCCATATGGAATAAGTCCTCACATCCTGGGAGGGCATGGGGAAAAAAAAGAGTTGTAAAATGATGTCCATAGCAGAAATTCCATTTAGTTTCAGGACCCAGGATGAGGGTCTAAGTATGTCAATGGCAACAGTATTTACTGCTTATGGTTGTGTCAGCTGTGCAAAGTCCCACCTGTCTACTCTGTGTGAAGTGTGTTGCTGTGTGTTTTAGAGAACAGACAAAGTTTTTCTGGTACATTTCATAGTTATAGACTATTTTCCCAGTACTAATATGGTATATCTAAAATACATCATTTCTCTTTTTTGTAGATGGATTAGAAGCTTTCACCAGATTTCTTAAAAATGAATTCAGTGAAGAAAACATTGAATTTTGGATAGCTTGTGAAGATTTCAAAAAAATCAAGGATCCTCAACAAATCGCTCTTACAGCAAAAGCCATATTTGAGAAATTTATTCAGAATGATGCTCCACAAGAGGTACAAGTGAAGGCGATTGCAAACGTTTACAATGAGGGACCCAGGTTCTGCAGAAAGCTCAGGATCCAGCTGAAGCAACTACGGCTATATGCACTTCTTCATACACACAGGACACTGTATGATACTAACAAAATGAAGTTTAATTGAAGTCAGTTATTTTCATGCCAAACTAAGGCTGAATGCAAATAGTTGCAATTAATTATGTGTACACATTAACTATCTTATCATCACCAACCTTTAAGGAAGCCAAAACTTCTTGAAATAATGTTTTTTAAGTGACAAATATGAGAAATCTAAACATCTGTCTCATGTTTCATTTTAATATCACCTCATCTGTCTACACAATATTTTGTTTATCCATGTGACGGATTATTCTCTACAATCAGCTGAAAAAATATCTCATATCAGACAAATGAAGAAAACCTTGTCTGATCAGGTTGCAAGTGGAAAAAAACAGTTTCCTACAAATTCAATCGGAATCAGTTATGCAATCAATAAAATGATACAAAACTAGCAAATATTGCTCGAGAGCACATGAATATAAATTAAACAGTTTCTATGTTCCCGTTAGGTGTTTCTTGACTAGAACCTCTTCATAGAGTTGACAGAGCTGACTGTCATCATGGGCAGTTGAGTTTATCTAAAGATAGTACTGTCCGGGAGCTATTCTCATATTTGATCTTAGCCAAAGGGCCGAGAAGGGATAGGAGGTAGCATTCTCTTTTTAGATATTGTTCCACAAGCAATGAAGACTATAGTTCTTGCTTAACAATCTTTAATGTCTTATATTTCTATTCTGTCTTCCCCAAAACCGATTATTTTCATAGGTAAAGAAACAAAGAGACTCAGGCAGTTGTGTGTTATCACCCACAAGGGAAAAGTAAAAGCCCCTCCCTGAAAACCGATGACCAACAGAGCTGGCTCTGTCAGCAGCAGTGGGATAAGATATTGCAAAAAGTTATATCATTAGAACACACACACACACACACACACACCTCTAGCAATGAATGAAAGCATTGCAGCATTGCATAGTACTGAGCAAAACAGAAGCCCCTTATGCAAATACCAAATATTGTCTGAGCTCACTCTTTGTCATTCCTGAAGATATTTCAGCTATGGGATTTGCATTCCTCTACTTTGAAAATAAGTGAATTAACCAAATTACCTTTAGGAGATCTAGCACTGCAATACGCCATCATTGTAAATTAGCAGAGAGTGAGAGAGAAGGCCGGATGAAATGCAGTCCGTAGCAAATCCCGAGATCGCTGGACGATAGCAGGAAAGGATCCTCATCAACCAAATACAACAATGTCCACTGCAAAATTGCATCTGTCATGTACTGTTAAGTTGGCAGACTGAATATTAACAAAACTTTTCTCCTGTCTAACCAGGTTAACCTTGATTTTCACACCAAAGAAGGCATTTCCCAGAGCATCGTCCAGCCCACCCTCCACAGTTTTGATGCTGCACAGAGTAGAGTGTATCAGCTCATGGAACAAGACAGTTACACACGATTTTTGAAATCTGACATCTATTTAAGCTTGCTAGAAGGAAGACCTCGGAGACCAACAAATCTTAGAAGACGATCACGCTCGTTTACATGCAGCGAATTTCAAAACGTAAAATCAGATGTTGACATTTGGTTATAAAGAAAATTGAGTTTGCTATTTTGGTGACAAACTTGTATGCATCTGTTTCAAAGATGTAACCTGTTTGTGCTAAGAAATGATTGCATCTAAGATAAGAGACAGGATTTAAAAATGTACATCAAAACTTTAATATTAACCAACTGCAGTCATCCAATATTTTCTGCATAATTCATTTGATGTCATTCCATTCATAATCAGAAAAAAATATTTCTTATCTAAAAGGCTGTAAAGAATAATAATGTTTTATAAAGTTGCAAAGTTAAGTAGAGACTAAGCATTCACGAAACTACAAAATTTTATCATATTTCAAGGCAAACAACATAATTCTTAGCTACCCATATATTCAGGCTTCATACTCCAAAATGATGCACGCCAATTTTTTTTCTTCCTTTTGGTTAGTAATCCTGTATCAAAAATTCCAACTTATCACTTCAAGTTAGAAGTCAGCAAGGAGAACTATAGTATAAAGAAACTGCAAGTTAAGGGCCAACACTGTGGCACTGTGGCTTGATGCACTGACGTAGCATCATGTATGAGCTTTGCTTTAAATCCTGTTTGCATATTTCTGATCCAGCTCCCTGCTAAGCCTGGAAAAAGCAGTCAGTTATGGCCCAAGTGTAGGGTTGTCCATCTGACAGACACATCTGGGAGAACTGGGTTGAATTCCAGTCTCCTGGTTTCAGCCCAGCACGGCCCCAGCCTTTGTGGAATGAACTGCCAGATATTTCTGACATTCAAACAAATAAATATATCATCTTATTTTCAGAAAACTTTAACAATTTATGTTTAACTTTCAGGTCAAACATAACGTAGGTTAGTCTCAACTTTGGGCTAATGGCCAAGCGTGGACTTGCCCAGTTACATGGCCAGAAAAATGTGACATCGTGTAAACTGCCAGGATCACAATGTCCCTGTTCAAACAGTAGACAGCCAATGGTTAGAATGGTGATTAGATGAGTCTCCTCCAGGAGTAATTAGGTCTCACGTTCAGAATTCCAGACTTGGATTAAAAAAGATGGGAGATGAGGTGAAGCAAAAAGACTTCTGAGGCACTGGTGACTCAGGCATTTGCATATTCAAAACCATTTATCCATTCATTATGCTCTTACTCATTTAACATTCCATTACTCAAACAGGACCATGCTAATAATTACATCTATCATTATTAAGTATATGTGTGTATATGCAGAGAAGAACTATTTAATTCTTTGTCTTACATGAGCTGTAAATATCAAAAATATGCCATATCTTTGACTTTCAGAAAAGTTTTAGTGGAAATGTAAATTGTCTAAGTTTTTCAAAATCTATAGTAATAAAAGCTTTTGACTTCGT